TGTTTGGCGGGTCCGGGCTGGGGATTCGAACCCGCCACCTTAGGTGTACGTGGCTGGCGCCTTAGCCGGTTGAGCTATAGGCGCCGAGCCTGTTGTTCCTTTCTTAAGAAAGGAGAAGCAGCTTATTAACCTTAAACCAATGGTTCCCGACAGAGGACAATCCCTTCTCCCTGCCCACCCTTCATATCCCAGAGAACATTTGACAATGCCTACAGATACTTGGAGGCATGCAACACTACTGGCATCAGTGGGCAGAGGCCAGGGACACTGTTAAACCTCTTATAATTCCCAGGATGTCCACCCACAAGAAGTAATTATTTCCAATAGTATTAAGATTAAGAAACAGTGCCCTAAATTGAGTTCTTACTTTGCTATATCTGGATCTTGATGAGATAACTCTTCTATCATGAAGAGGAATGCCATCAAGTAGTTATTTCAAACCTAGGAAATATTCCCTACCAATGCCCCAGAAAGGCATCTAGGACGGCACCTCAGGATTTTGAGTGCCATTGCAGTACATAAAGCCAACAATATCAGAATTACAGTATGTTACCAATCCAAATCTCTTTTCTGGAAAAACACAGGTAATGTTATTGTTAAGATTCTACTTTGGGAACTGGGAAATAGAGGATAGGTTCATTAAGTATTTATAAATGTCATTACAATTACCTGTAAAATAAATGTAATCATATTTTAAGACTAATGTTTAAAATAGTAATTAGAATAATACCCTGGAAAAAGAAAAAATTTCTATACTTACTCTGAAGAAGGATAAACACAGCTAACAACCATCACATTCTGCAATAACAAATACTGGTGATTAACTATGAGGAAAAGTAACAAAGGCAAGTTTTGTCTTGATTTTTTAAAAAGCACTATAGCATAAAATTTAATTATTTGTTTTTAATTTCTCAAAATCCCCCTTATGGGTTGTTTCCATTCATTCCAGTTTTGCTAATAAAGGAAAATGGTTAAAAATAACAACTGATAAAACAAAAACAGTAACAACAAAGGACCAGGAGAAAATACCCTACTAAACCACTAACATTTTTTTCTAACTAGTCTTTGTTTTTCTACCCTAATCTACTTACTCTGTAGCCCCAATATCATGTATATGTAATAATATGGAATCATGGTCTCTTCTTTTAGGTGGAATCACTCAAAGATGTTTAAAGATCAAAGAATCTGGGCCAAGTGTAATGACTTTCCTCATAAAGTAAAACCCAATCCAGAGCTGCTAATGTAGCATCATATATCCCAAAGAAAGAGGCTCAACCCTTTCCTGTAATATACTTTTAATCATCCTAGCAACAATTACTTCATTAATAGGCAGTGTTCACTGAATCCCACTCATAGTCCTATTATTTTCCACATTTTAGAAAAGAGGAAAATGAGACTTAGGCTAAATTACTGGCCCATAGTCACATTAACTAGGAAGCACTGCAGCCCTGATGTGAAAACAAGGGCTGTTGGAACGACTACTGTGACATATTGTCTCTGTATGCAAAGAGCTCTAAAATGGAATGATTAAAAGCCTCATATCTAAAAAATAAATACTGATGATCAATCCTCAACTGAGAATTAGTAAACCTAAGCCTAACCTTGGTTGTTCCTTGGCTCCTTCATTCTCTTTTCACTCCAGACAAGTCAGTTTCTTTCACTGCCGCAAATACTTTGAATCATCATGTTGTTTTGTCAATGATCCTCTCCCTTATTACTAACATCCCCACTCACCCACCAAAAGCGAAAACAAACAACAAAAAACACTTAATTGTTTATTCCTATACTTGACCTGCATCTCTCTATCCAATACCTAATTTAAAAGGTTTGTATTCTCAAGTTTCCAAAGTTGCCTATCTCTACACTCCATGGGTAATTAAGTTTACAAAACACCTTATTAAAATATCAATTATAGAACTTCTCAGAACCTTTAATATGTTCACATATATAATAAATTTCCAAGAAGTAATAAGCTGCTTTACACCTAAACTTCTATGGTCATCACACAAGCCCTCCTCTGCCACCTCCCATTAAATCTCTGTCTGGTACACAGAACATAACCTGGAAAACAATTTAGAAAAAACTAAAAGTAGGCTGGAAAACCTACTTCAGTAAAAGCTGCCTAAAATAGAACTAATTCAATGCTCCTCTCTGAAATCTATTTTGCTATAATTTAACATAATTCTATTAATACTTAAAATAAATACCTTTTCTACTCCTCTGAGGAATTTGTCTGTTCCTGTATAGTTTCTCCGTGGATCTGTCAGCAATTCACATAGTCGCTGAATAGTAAAAGGGATACTGCAAAAGAATACAATTTTACAGTTTGAGGTCATTAATTACCAAAAATTAGGAACATTCTTTCTTTTGCTAAAGCTTTATCTAGTCACCCATGTGTTAAGCTACAAAAGAAAATGCTGTAATAGGGAAATGAATAGATGAGTCATTCAAAAAGGACACTTGTCTTTTTATTTAACACTAAGAACACCCAAAATTAAAAGAAAGTTTCAAGACTGAGAAAAAACTTAATCTTCTAAATCTTGATAATTCAATTGTAAATTTATAAGACAAGCAATACAAATGATAATCAAGTTAGAGTTTAATACAGAAACTTTTCCTTAAACATTCTACTGTATACAAAAAATACTTCTACAGTGTTCAAACAAAACTACAAATAATTTTGTTATGGCAGAGACTAAAACAAATGATTCCAATGAAGAAGTGTCTTAAATATGGCTCTGCTTCATGATTAAAATTTTATATACAACCCATACATTTAATGACCCTTAAAACATATGTAAATATATTCAATATTTGGGCAAGAACTTGTCAACTTTACCAAATACTTTCACCATTACTTTAATTTCCATTTGATCAAGGCAAAAACAAAACTGATAAAAGATGAAACTAAAAATCATTGTATAAATATAAGAAGTTTTGAGCTCATGTAACTATGAGTATTATCAGAATTGCAAAGTTAATAAGCAACAGTTAGGACAAATTCAGCTAAAAAGTACAAATACAAATCTTCAGACTTCGATAGTTGCCTACACATCTACTATCGTTCTTAATGAAGAGAATTACAAATACTCACATAAATAATTAACACTGGCAAAGTTCTTCGTTTTTTAAAGACAGTTCAACCCAGTATATTCTACCCAACAAGGTAAAAAGCAGCTAGTGAGTAATATAGTCCCAAGACTCAAACCCAGTTTCTTTAACTTCAAATCCCATGTCCTTTGCACTGTATCACGTGTATATATTTTACAAAATCATAGTTTATTTTCTAACTGGATAAACTACACTTGGTTCTCATATTCTTAGCATCAGTACTATTTTTACTTATGTTCTCATAAAATCCAGCATAAGATCTTCAACAAATTTTAACACTGAAAGTAAATGTTGCTTATATGAAAACAAATATTCTAGGTATTTGAAAGTGAAAGCAGCAATCTTTTCTCAATTAGCATTTAAACCTAAAAATAAGAAAAGTGTCCTGGCTCGGCGCCTATAGCTCAAAAGGCTAAGGCGCCAGCCACGTACACCTAAGGTGGTGGGTTCAAATCCCCAGCCCGGACCCGCCAAACAACAATGATGGCTGCAACCAAAAAATAGCTGG